TGTAGAACCATTAGTAACCCGCAATGTTAGGAACAGAGATCTGTAAGAATGGTGATTTTCACTACTCCTTTCTCATTTCATTAAATTTATTTCTCCTCAAAGGGGCATTTCATTTAAATTTTTAAAAACTTTGATTAAAAAAATCAGTGTAGTTTGTGTCACCCAGGTAGTTAAAAAAACTATAAAAGAATGATCTTTTGAGTCTTTTATTTTTCTTGATAGCACTAACCAATCTGACATTGTCCTATATATTTGTCTTTATTGGGGGGATCTGTCTTCTCCCACTAGAACATAAGTTCCACAAATAGAAGGACTTCACTTGATCTAGATTTTTATTGTGTCCTCAGCACATAGAATAATGCCCAGGATTTACTAGGTGCTCAGTAAATATTTGCTGCAGGAACAAATCCATGAATGAATAAGCCCGTCTTGCCTCCTTTTTAAAGCTCTTTCAACACACTACATGGATGTTTATTGAAACTTGTGAAAATCCTTTAAATTTCTATGGGACTTGGTTATGCCTTCTGCAAAATGGGATTAATAATAGCCCCCTACTTACCATCAAGGATTATTATGCTCATCAGCTAAAACAATGCTTGTTAAAATGCCTTAAAAAACATAAAGTGCAATACAAACATGAGTCACTATGACCCCTCCCACCTCCTGTCCTCCCCCCGCCAAAGAATATATGACTTCATAGCCTTACCTACCTTTGGAATCTACTTTGGAACTAAAAAGAAAAAAGGGGCTTCTGAGACACCAACATTAAAATAAAAAGGACAGTCTCTGCATGCATATGTGTACAGTTCTCTCATAATAGAGTCTCCAGGTCCCCGCTCAAAGCTATCTTCCTTTTTAACCAGCTTTACATCCAATTCCAACAAATTTGCTTTCCATCCTTAGGCAGCCCACGAAGGGGGAGGTGGGGATAGCTTGGAACAGGTGTATGGATCAAAGAGCACAGCCCATTGTCCCCATGCCCTGTGTGTGAGGGAGGTGGCCTCTGAGCTGTTGCCCCGGACATGCAGATTCACCCTCTGTCCCTCCACGGGGGTTCGTGGGACTGTCAAGGGGAGAGGCAGCTGCCCCTGCACCTCAGGAGGCCCTGAGGGAGACAGGTCACTATGTGGCCACCAGGAAGAGACAGTCACAGTGGTGATCCTCAGCCATCAAGAAATGGTTAAAGTATAGGCAATTGCCTTTTTTAAGAAGGCAGGAGAGGATGTGTAACACAGTCTAAATAGATTTCCAACCCAAATGGTTAAAATAAGGACTATTCATAGACAAACAAGCTAATTTGTAGTTATAGAGGGAAAATATTCTTGGTTAAGCAACTTATGGTATTAGATAAGGTTTTATAGATTAGATTAGGTTTTATATCATATTGCTATCTTTAAACATTGAAAAAACGTTAGGTGGTGGTTTTTAACATGGGACAATTACACTGTTTATTTTAAACATGGCTTGGACACACTGAAGCAATAAGATTTAGAACTAAGAAAACTTATTAAACAATAAACAACTGTTTGTATAGTTAACTCCATCCATGTGTGGAAGACGTCAAAGGTGAGGAGCCACTCGGTGGCTGAAGAAAAGCTGTGGACCTTTAATGAGAGGCTGCTCCTACCAGGGCACCTCTGACCTTGAGGAAACAAATTCAGATCTTCAGTATCCTAAGCAAGCCCTAATTAGGGATGCAAATCTGATGCATATACTAAAGGGTCCAACCCTACATCTAAGACAAACAGATAGGCTTTGGGGATTATGCAATGTTTTGAATGATTCGTAACAGCGCTTCTCGCCATTAGTGTGTATAATCAAGAGATAAATCTCTAAGGTAACTAACTACTAGTCCCCACAAGGAACTAAACCAATAAACCCTGTGCTGAAACTTCACAGGGCAACACAGATGAACTCTGAGTCTTTAGGCCTAGAAACAACTTGCAAGATAATTTTATCCAGTGGTTCTGAAACTGAGCTGCAAAGTAAAGGACCTGAGACGTTTTTAAAAATGCTGAGGCCAGGACCCCACGGTCGAGAGAGATTCTGTATTAATGTGGCAAGCAACTGACACTAATACTTGTAAAAGGTTCTGAAAGTAGCCGAGGTCGAGAATCACTGATGCGGTCCTCTGGTTCCCAAACTTGCGCTACGTATCAGAATCACACGGAGAGCTTTTTAGAAAGAGATTTCTAGGCTCCACCCCCGAAGTACATGCCAACTATTACCACTGCACATTCTGGTTTCGGGACCACTGATCCAATAGATGACAGTCACTGGTGTGCTGGTAAACTGGCTCTTCAAAACAAAGAACAAAAGCAACAAAACAAAAGAACGAACCTTGGTTTGTCGTGCTTGCCAATTTCCATGGTGTAAATCCTCCACAGTTGAGCTCAAGCTACCCATGTGCCCTCACTGAAGGCAGAGTTGGGAAGAAGTGCACACGGTTGACTCTGGAGAGCCAGTGCCAGCAGGGTCCATACAGCCAAACTGCTGGCACTTGAATCTTCACTCTCCCACTTACTGGCCAGCTGCCCCTGCACATGCTACTTAACCTTGCTGTGCTGGGGTTTCCTCAGCTATGAAACACGATGATACTATTACTAACCCCTCACCACAGGGTTGTTTTTAGTTGCAAATGATTACTATTATATACTATACTTAAGCAATGCTATGTATGTTGTACATATGCATGTTATGCACTATTGCTATCTATAAAACTGTTTATTTACTAAAACACTTATTCTAATATCATTCATGTAATATTAAATATGAAAATACTTCCATCTACTCAATTTTAAAGTTTAGCTTTGTCTTAAGCCATAATAGTTGGGGAAATCATGGGTTCAATGTGCTAATCATACTTTTTCTAATATTCACTAAAATAATCACTCAATTATCCAAATAGAGATGTTTGCCTATGCACTAACCAAAATCATCTTGCAGGTGGCACGGTATTTAAGAACACTGATTTAAATCTCAGCTCTGCCACTTACTACCTTTGGGACCCCGAGTGAGTTAACCTCTCGGCCTCAGTTTCCTCACTTTTCAAGTGGGGTTGGTGGAAGATTAAATGCAGTGCTCAGAACAGTGCCTGGCACACAGTGAGTGCTTTCTAAGGTTTGGGTGCAATTGCTGTTGTTCTATTGTTTACCACCAGTGGTAAATGCACACATATGGGGACATGCATCACTTTCTTCTGTCTCCCTAGAGAGTACAATCTCTGCTAAGTCATTTTGTTTCCTTTCATTTGATGTAAAGTCCATTTTTTCTCATATTTACAATAAATCTGAACTTGGCTTGCAGGAATTAGTTGAAGCATGTGGAACTGCTGATATTTGACTTTCCTGACCTCTCCCAGATAATTTCGACCTTCCCAATAATTTCAGTTGATAGCATCGGTTGCCAGAGCAAATTCCTCCAGGTGTTTGGGTCTTGCCTGCAGTCACCTGTTCCAAGCTTGCTGATATTTCCCTTCTACTTTGACGCCTACAGAAAACAGACCTCAGCCACCAGAGCTTTGGGTTGGGAGCCTAGAGTTTCAATTTCTATTACTGTCGAAGACCAGTGCAGGCCAGGGCTGATGTCAGCACATTCATCCCCACTCCTGCCCCATGCTAGGGAGTGTGGACCCTCTCCTCTACCCTCCCACAGGTCCGGGTCCTGCTGCTGAAATGTGTAGTGGCTGCAGGTTTCTATGGTGTCATTTAATCTGCACAGAAAACTCATGACGTGGGTATTATTAACTCTATTTTAAGGATGGGGAAGCAGGCCCAGAGAATTGAATAGTTTGCTCCCTGTGAACTGGAAGTTTATACTTTGAGGCTTAGGAAAATAAATTACTTAACTTCTCTCCTTGCTGTGGTTCCATGAGCTTTCTCTCTTCTCCCTTATAAGGACTATCTACATGAAGGAGTATGAGGTCCCTTGATGAGAAGTATTATATAAATTCAAAGTATAATTACTGATTGTACATTCTTTCATTAAACAAACAAAATATATGCTAATGCTAAATTCACTCCAGTTTTCCATTTTGCCATCCTTTGAGAAATAAGCCAATAAACCATTACACACTTAGCTTCCTGGGGAAATAAATTTAAATGTTAATATAAATCCTTTTAGAAAAAAACAAATTTTAACAAATAAGTATTTGAACAAGGAAGGTACTTAACCACGTTCAGAATGAGAAACGTTCAGTACAAGACCCTTGGTAGCTGTTGAGATAAGCTCTCTAAATTTAATATTTTATAATAGACTCACATCTCTTTTGTTAGACATGGAGAAACAGAATCATTTTCTTTTCCCCTTTATTGGAATATATTTAAATCTTTCCAATTTTATTTTGCTAATAGGCAGGCGAAAGTCCTGTCTATAAATGTATCCTGACTTATCACAGGTAATCCCGCACTCTAGCATTCATGTGTAGTACTTAACCTCAATTTAAATGTAAATTTTGGGCAACTTTGAGGGCTTTATCTGTGAACTTTGAGAGCTCTCTTCATTAATGAGGTCTGCACTAATTATAAGCAGGTTTGCAAGGCTACCTTAAAACAACTGCAGAACTGACCCCAAAATGAACAAATTCAGAATTTATTTGTTTTTAAAAATGTGCACTGGCACCCTTGTGCACATTTTTAGCTCATGCCTCTCCTCCCAAGGTGTGCACGTTAGGAGGCAGATGGGCAGGATCATAACAGAATGAAATATACCTGAAGAACTAATGAAAAAGAAAATGAACGTGAACTGGGTTTACCCTCAAATAGGCCTTCTCTTCCTGATGAAAAAAACCATATACCCTTTTCTGATCTGAGAAAAAATTTTTACGATGAAATATTCTTGGCTTCCCTTTTTCTGTTGGCTCCAGCCAGGAGCCTACAATTTAGCAGCAACTAATGAAAAAAGCACCATCAAAATTCTCATGAAAGCAAAAAAAAAAAACCCATTAAAAACAATTTCCAAATACTCACAGGTACGTCCACGTACTTGGAAGCTGCCTTCACCTGAGGAGCAAAGGAAAGAGTCAGTGTGAGTGGCGTTTATTCAGTGGCTCACAGCCCAGTGCTGCCTCGCCACCAGAGTCATAACGATGTGCCGGCACATGGAGCTGACCAGCAAACCCAGAAAGGTACTAAAAAATAAAATCTGATTGCTATTTTTTTCCCCACGCCATAGCCACTGCTTTGGAGAGAAAGAGAGATTGAGGATAGAGCGAGACGGAAGGAAGGAAGGAAGGAAGGAAGGAAGGAAGGAAGGAAGGAAGGAAGGAAGGAGGGAGGGAGGGAGGGAAGGAAGGAAGGAAGGAAGGAGGGAAGGAAGGAGGGAGGGAGGGAGGGAGGAGAGAAGGAGGGAGGGAGGAAGGAGGGAGGGAGGAAGGAGGGAGGGAAGGAAGGAGGGAAGGAAGGAAGGAAGGAAGGAAGGAAGGAAGCAAATTGTTACTGACTCAGATTCCATAGCTGGTGCAGAGATGGTGCATTTTCCTTCCTCCTCTTTAAAGGAAGCAAAGTGGCTCCAGCTGGGACCAAGCTGATTGACAGAGGGCTCACCAGTCTAGAAAAGCAACTAAGGCTGCTGTGGCTTCTCGGACCCTGGGTCTTTTTGCGATTTGGCTGTAGGTTTGCCCTAATTGAATCCATCTGTTAACCCTCTTTCAGTGGAGGGGGTGTGGCAGGTGGGCTCCTTACCGCAGAAGGACATGGGTGTCTGGGTGGGGCTGGGAGAGCCCCAGAGCCTTCCACAACTGTTCCAAGGCTGCTGTTGTTTCTTCTGGCTTTAAATGCTAAAAATTCCACAAGGAAAGTGCTGGAAATGGATATGGGACTATTTTCAGTTTGAGGAGAGGGTGTGTGGTAAAGCATAGCATTGAGAGTGTGGAATTTGGAATTCCAAATTCAGATCTGGGTTCAAATCTTGGCTCTATGACTTATAAGCTGTGTGACCTTGGGCAAGTTACTTCATCTCGCAGAGCCTCAGCTACCTTATCTGCAAAGTACAGATACTAACAGACACCTACAACAGTGGGCTGATATATGGGCGAATGCACACAAAGTCCTGGGACATAGCATGGAACCAATGGCAACTCAGACGATCAATTCATAAGCAAATCTGGGTGGGGTCTGGGTGGTGTGAGTACTCAATGAACAGCTAAGGTTGAGAAATAAAACCTGTGGGCATGTGTCTGATACTCTAATTAATTTTGACTCAGGTAATACATATTCCTCTAGGCACAGGTGAGAATGGGGGGCTACATTTGGGGGCAGAGAAGGTTTCCAGGCTTATGGGAAACTACAAAGACCGATGCACCCCAACCAGTTAGGACATCTTTTCACATTGCAGGGAAGTTTCCTTTTGTAATTTGCTGAGACCAATATTGGGAATCACAACTTCTATCCACCTGTCTCCCAGGAAAGCATCCAGGGGAGCATTTTTCCCTATTGCACTTTTCTCACAACTACTTTTCAAAATGCGAATTCCAAGGGAGAGAAGCCAATGAGCCAACAGGGTAGGGCATAAAGAGCACAGGATTTAGAGTAAAATTCTGTGACAGTCCTAGTGGACCCTGAGCTATACACTTAAAGTTCTGCAGCCTTGGTTTCTAGATTTGCAGGACAGGGCGCTACTGCTGTGTACTCTGCAGCGCTGAGAGCCTAATCTAGAGACAAAGGGCTTCACAAACTTTAAAGGGCTGACGGTGCAAAGAGATTACTAACTTATTAAGAGGGCGATGTGGAATCGTCACCAGTACCCAAGATAACTCTGAGATTGCCCCGTAATGGATTCTCTTAGAACCCTATACTTTTTCTTTACAGTACTGATTGCAATCGTGATTCGGTAATTTTATGCAATGCTTGTCTCCCACAGAATGTTGTGTCTTGTTCACTGCGGTCTCCTCAGTGACTCATTTGATACCTGGCTTAGAAAGGGCGCTCCTGGAAAATCTGTAGAAGGAAGGAGAGAAAGCAAGTGACCAGGGGCAGCTTCGGGATGAGCAGACGGAGGATCCACTGGATGAGTCAGTCTGAAAGCCGACACAATTGCATACAGAGCCGACTGCCTGCAAAAACTGCTGGGCAAAAGGGAACCACTCCCCTCCTCCAACAAAGGGGCATAAAGAAAGTTCTGGATTTTGCACAATTACGATTTCTACTAAATGGTCACGAACCCCCAAGTTGCCTTCTCCATTCCTGCTCCAGAATTAGTTTGGGCAAGAAGGTGGCTTTCCTTTCTTTCAAGTCTCTCCCATTTAAAATAATATCTAACATTTATATGCTGTTTTTCACTTTGCAAAGCACTTTGGTGTACAGTTTCCCCTTTAAGCCACCCTGTAAAATGGGGACTATTATGGGGACTGTTAATTGTATCTATTTACAATCGAGAATACTAAAATCCATAGAATTTAAGAATTTATTTGCTCATGGTCTCAGCCAAAAGGCAGAGAAAGCAGGACTCACATGTGGGTGTCCTGAGCCCCACTTTTTCCTTTGGAACTCCTCACCAAGGGCAGTAAAGCCTGAAGAATTCAAGCATCAGTGGTCGGAGTAAGTGCTGGCAAAATAACTCTTCTCAGCTAGAAATTGCTTTCTTTGCTCTGTAGAGTTGGTGCTTGGCAGTTGGTAAGAGTTTTGCTACAGCTGAAATGATCAACCTTTAAACACGCCTACTCTCCACTTACCACTAACATGCAGTTCCAATCCAGAGAATGACACCAGTCAAGTTCTATTCCTTTCAAGGCAGCTTGGGAAGATGAGGCAAGCTGAATGTCATGAATGAAAACCATCTCCTCCCCTACATGCCCCAGCCTACAGTTTGTTAGGCTTCTTGCTGAGCTGGTAACTGCTGACTTGATCTCAGTATCGCTGTTCTTCTTTCTATCCCATCACAACAGGAAATAAATAGCTCAGAATAAATTGAGGTCTTATTATTATATAGAAACATGTGGGGCATCATTTTTGGTTCTGGCCATTGAACTTTAAGAAGGATGTTGATGAGGATACAGGGGAGCCTGGAAGTGTTTTCTATAAGGAAAGTGAAAACGGAGGCACCTTGCCTGGGAAAGGAAAGGCTAACAGCAAAGAAAATGGTAATCTTCGTGTAGTTAGCTAAGGAGCTTCAGTGAAGGAAGACTGAACTTTTTCATGGAATCAGGATGAATGAGTAAAATGACAGGGTTTCAGAAGAAGGTCCGGCCAGACACTGGCCCTCTCTGCTGAAGGAGACCTCCTTGCTGGAGCAGCGCAAGCTCGGCTATGGAGGATACTCTGCATGTGAGTCTTCCCCTGTGTGACAGGTTACCTCCAAGCTGCTTCCCATTTCCTGATTCTCGTCTCCTTAGGAGCTAGGAAGTTGCCAATGGTTGTATCTTTCATAGTAGGCATGCTGAGATACAGCAGAGTAAATACACTGGCAAAGTCAGTATCAGAGTCCTGGTTTCTGAACCCTTTCCTACCTAATGTCAACAGTGCTGCATTTTAAGCATCATGTCCCACAGGAACGTGTCTTTCGGCCAGCTATACTCTAGGTAGAGAGAAAGGACCTCCCAACTCACTAGGGCTTTGGAATTACTGCCAAGAGTCTGAAAATCTAAGTGCACATGAGGCATTGTCTCTAGATCAAATAATGATCTACAATCCACACAATCTAGACAAGACTGTTTTCCATTACATGTATATGTGGTTTTCATGAATAAAACACATTTCTTGTAAATATTGCCTATTTTACAGAATTTTGTCATTATGTGTGTTTTCTTATCGATGATTCTCAAAAATGTGTATGTGTGTAATTTTCTTTTCTTTTTTAACTTCAAATTTTCCTAATGAAGCAGCTAAGAAGATGGGCTCAGGATTGGTGGGGCTAGAAGTCTGGCTTTGCCGTATTCTAACTTGGTGACTTGAAGCAATTACTTAAGCCCTTTGAGCCTCCTCTGCAAATGGGACAAAGAAAGTATTACTCAAAGGGACGCTGTGAGGACTAGATGAGCTTATCCATCTCAATGTGCAGAGAAGTGCTGGGCACATGGCAAAGGTTACTCAATGTACATGTTCTTATTGATTACTGGATATGCTGGCTTATTGGTGTAGATGAAACACAGGCTCCTTGTCCAGGTGGTATGGGTGGCAGCTAGTTTCACTCCCCACCTCTTACCCACAGGCAATTTCGTGCCATAAAAAGGATGTCTGGAATCTCCCCAGGTGACCAGCAAGTACCTGAGTCGGTTCATAGTATGGCCTACTTTCTGCCAATTGCATGAACACCCTATGCACAGGAGAACTTGCCCTCAAAACACTGAGGCAGCGACACCCTCTGTTTCTTAACTCAAGATGGTTGAGTTTAGGCATAAGTGACAGGGAAGTTCCCAGGCCAGGGAACTCTGTTATTCAGTATCACATACCTGCAGGACTCTGGGACCAAGCCATGTGCCCTGGGGCAGGGGAGATAGGGCAGGGAAAGGGGTATATCCTAGACAGCTGGTCTGGAACCCTTTCTAAGCAGGGACTCAACTGCCCTCAAGGGAGAGGCAAGAACTGTGACTTCTGCCAGACTTCACGTCCTGCGAATCTCTGTGTTCTGATCATCCCTCTGATGGAAGTCCCTTCTCTAGTAGTATCCATGAGCACCCCCAGCCCCTGACCACTCAGTAGAGCCAGTTCTGGGAAAGGAGGTTAGAAAAAGAGACACAAAGTAAGAGAGGCTGACAGAGATCGAGGGTGAAGGGAGGGAGACAAGCTGTGAGTGGGCAGCTCCTGCATGTTTCATGTGCCTGAAGCCAAGAACACTTACTATGTACAAGGCACCATGGGAGGGGCTGCAGACGAAGGTGTTTGCTCCATGATTGCTTCTTAGATGGTATCTAAATTTCCAATCTCTCCAAACACTTGGGATGAGTCATGTCCATCCAACATCTAGTAACTAGAAGTAACACTTCTTGAGTGCTTACTACTTGCCAGGTAATAAGTCAGGAATATTGCATGTGTTATAATTAATCCCCACAACAAACTTTTTTTTG